GATTGCTTGTTCGACATGCGTTGATTGCTTGTTTGACATGCGTTAATTGCTTGTTCGACATGCGTTAATTGCTTGTTCGACATGCGTTAATTGCTTGTTCGACATGCGTTAATTGCTTGTTTGACATGCGTTGATTGCTTGTTCGACATGCGTTAATTGCTTGTTCGACATGCGTTAAGTGCTTGTTCGACATGCGTTAATGCGTAATCACCTTTCACCAAACTTTCCACGTCTGGGTACTTTCACAATAACTTACTAATAACTGCTAGCAGTCAATGCTCTTCTGAATGCTCGCTATCTGTTTGTGAACATCGTAATAATCGATGAAGTTTGAATGCATGCAGCCCACGTAGAAGTAAGCTATCAGCACTGGACGAACATTATCACTGTCAAACTGTTCCACCATCTCGCCGTACGCCGTCTTAAACGAGTCGAGGAACAACTCGAAATTGCGAATGCACTCGGCGCCGAGCAGGTTGATTTTCCTGACGGCGTGCGGCGACGGCGTCGTCTGCTGCTCCTCGACGATCGCCATCTTGATGTCGAGCGTCTCGCTGTACGCCTCGACGATCTCGTACGTCAGCTGCCGGCAGACGAGCAGGTAGTGGCGCGGGTTGAGCTCGCCGAGCACTCTACGCAGCGTGTTGACGCGCCGCTTGTGCATCTTCGACTTGTGCTCAAAGTCCGGCTTGAAGAACACGAGCAGCTCGTAGAGCAGACTGGAGTCGCACGTGAGCTCGGCGTAGTCCGACGCGTGGTCGTAGAGCGAGTAACACTTGTGCACGTCCACGAGCGAGGGGTCAGTCAACTGGAATACTCTGGGCAGACCACAGCATCAGTGCTGCTTCAGAGAATCTGGACCCATAGAATCCTACTGGTGACCACTGGATGCTGGTGGCGATATCCATGCAGGAGCGACTGATATACTTGGATCCACTAGAGAGCACAGATGCCTCGTCTTCTCCCCGAGCAAATCAGGCATTCTACATGATGATAGCTTTCCTGAAAGAGAAAATGAAGATAGATGTGGTAGAATGGACACTGACATGCCCACCACACAGATTCCAGGAGGATTCTTCTAGTTGTGTGCGCCATTATGCTGCTTCTACAAAACAGATCACTGATGGCAGACACAGATGTGATGCAGCTAAAAAAAAGGATTTTTGAAGAAGTTATGGGCTGCTGTAAAATTATGGCTACAGCCGAAGAAAAATAAATGTGCTCACGCTGCAATGGTCACAACAAATCGTACAACAGGATATGCTGCAACAAGTGTGAACAATGGCTTCACTGTAAATGCATTGGTATTTCAAAAGAAGAGGCTCAACGTCTACCTGCTTTTTACTGTCCACTTGTGTTATAATAATTATAATTAAACCTGAAATGAAAGCAAATAAAGGGTGGAAAACGAGATTGTTTATGAATGTTTGCTTAGTGCTGATGAGGTTAATGGCATCATAAGTCATCACACTGGAGTCATCGAGAGACCAAACTACAGCTATGACAAACACTTGGTATGAAGATATCTCATCTAAAATATCAAGATAATTAATTGAGAAATATAGAAGTTGTGGCTAATGAAGATACTAAAATATAGTAGAAGTGCTTCAAAACTATGTGATTTGCTCCCATAGGATGATAAGGCTTGTAGGGTCTATGTCCCCCTGACCTCTGTTTGACCTGGCTCGTTTAGCTATTTCTGACTAACCCTAACCCTATATATATTATATATATTATAATATATA